AAAGAGCAAAACTCCATCTAAGAAAGAAAGAAGAAAGAAAAAAGAAAAGAAAAGAGAAAGAGAGAGAGAAAGAAAGAAAACATAAAAGGAGACTCCTCATCCCTTCTCTGGAGACCCTTCTGTTTAGAAATAAAACTTTATCATGCTCCAGGTGACTTGGAGAGAGGACATGTGGGTGACCTTTTCTAGAAAGCAGTGGAGTGAAAGTTTTGGGAAAAGTAACAGAAAGAGAAACAAATCCTGAATTTACGGTAAGCTCATTTAAATCAACTAAGTAAACAAATATTTTAGTACCTCAACTGAAATATAAGCATAAACAAAGGTTGACTATGATTGTACCTGGACAGGATGAGTAAGAAGGCAAAGTGGTCTGTTATCAGCAATTTCTGTATTTTGGTCCTGGCTCTGCCTGACACCGTTGTGTCTCTAGCAGTTAACACATGTCCCTCTTTCTTTCAACAAATATCTATTAAGTGGCTAACATGTGTCAGACTCTACAGAACAGGCTTAGAAGCATAATGCCACAATGAAATAGAAATCTAACAGGCTCCAAGATCAGGCTTGTCAAATAAATGTACCACAATTTATATATCATATATACGTCTGGCACACAGGCACCAGAACATGAGATTAAACATGTTAAAGGAATGTTTATCTAAATATTTTTAAAAGAAAAATAAAACAAAAACTGGAAACCAAATGATACCAACAGAATATATAATTTAGTTGTGACATATTCATGCCATGGAAATGAACTACAGTGTCACACATCAACATGGATGAATCCAAAAATAATAATGAGCAAAAGTAATCATATACTGTATAATTCTATTTACATAAAGGCTATAAATAAGCAACTGTTGGAGATACATAGTAAAATCTATAAAAGCTAGGTGACAATTATACAAAATTCAGGATAGTGGTTGCCCCTAGGGGAGGGGGAGGGAGATATGAATGGGGAAAGCATACTAGGCTCTGGGATGTAGTAATGTTCCATTTCTCAGTCTGAGCAATGAGCACCTGGACATTTATTATTGTTCTTCTAAATAAACATTTTCATTTGTATATCCTATTTCACGATAAAAAGAAAAAAAGACCCCAAAAAAAGCATTAAGTGTGACTAAAGATTTAAGCAATGGTGCTTGGGAGTATTATCATATCATGCAGACACAGTGCAAGGAAATGAAAAGGTGGATATAATTTGTGAGGTAGAGATGATGGGTTCAGGTCTGCACAAACTGAGCTCCTGAAACACAGACCTTTATTCTTAGTCATATTAGGTATGAAATTGCCCTCAGATCACCAGTTGCTTTTATGCTAGATATGGAAGGGAAAAGGGGGAGTTGTGCAATTTATGTGTCCAGCTCTGAAAATCTTCATTGTAAACAATTACTAATAGGTCATGTGTTAGGTTACTTTTCAGCCCCACTCAGCTCAAAGGATTTGTCATTACCCTACTGATTTGCACTTTTAAGTCTTCTGCCTGTTGCATTCTGGTGATCCATTTCTAAGCAAGATATAGAACCTAAAGCTGAGACATAGTGATAGAAGGCCAGAGAACAGACACAGCAGCAAAGTTTACATGAGGCAAATCAGGAGGGTAGGACTGAGATTCTGATATGCATCCTGGCCAAATTCCAGAACTAGCAAAGAGAGGGCCAGTTCCTAATTCCAATCAAAGCAAATTCAGCCCTCTTATTTTCACACAGAAGTGGTCTATCTTGATTTTTAAATCTCTTGAAGGGATTAGGGAGCCTCTGAAATATAAAGGAAACTAAACTGACAGTAATGTAAAATGAATAGTGACCTATCATACCAGCAAACACTGTCAAAAACAGTAAGCTACTGGTGGGACTGGCCAGAGTCTAGAACACAGGAGTTATGTTTATCCAGTGCCACACTGTACAACAAAGCAGTCACTTCGCACATGTGGCAACTTAAATTTAAAAGAAATTCAATTAAACATTCCATTCCACAGCTGCACTAGCCACATTTTAAATGCCTCAATACCCACATGTAGCGAGGACTACTGTACTGAAGAGCAGAGGCACAGAACATTTCTATCATAACTGAAAGTTCTATTGAACAGCGGCTGACCTCGCAATATCCAGGGTAAAGGGTGTTCTGCTGGTAAAGCAAGTGGACATCAGAATTATCACAACTTAAGCATAATATTCCTGAGGGCATCCATTTCCATGTATTTGCATCTCTGCTCCTCTACTCTGGATCCCTGCTTTTCCAACTTTCTGGTATGTTGGAAGAAAATAACTGACTAGAAAACATAAATTTCATTCTGCTTTACAAGTGTAATTCTCACTTAAATTTATAAATTTACTTTCTGATTTATCAGTGAGTGCTGGAGGCCCGAGTTTGAGAAAGGCTAAGTTTGATTACCCCTGAATAGGTCCAAACATCAGGAAGGTCTTGCTTAAGTGGGTGACAGAAAGTGACAAAAAGAGCTGGAAGGAACGTGAGAGACTATTACACTCCCTTCTCTAACCTTTCTCCTTTTCACCCTGCTCACCTGAGCCAGGTTAGAATCCGTCCTTTGTACAGCACCCTGTACCTTTCTATGGCAACCTTTACTACATTATGTTTGTAGAGTGATCTATGCCATTACGAAAACTAGTCAAGGGCAGAGACTTCTCTTTATTCACCTTCAGTAACTAATACAATGCCTAGGGAAAAGCATGTAGGAGGCTCTCTAAGTTTCTCATACAAATAACTTGTATGGGGCAAATTACATTTTTAGGGCCTGGCTAGTAGTTCTCTGATGAAGGTATGATATTAAAGACAATATACTAAAAGATAGCAATCTCATCAAAATAACCCTTGGAGAGCTGGGGAGCAGGGAGAATAAAAGAAGCAGTTTAGAACAATTCTTCATTCACCATCATTGCCCAACACCAGTCTTCCCAAGTGGGGAAACTAATAGTTATGAAACAACTAATATATACTTACATTTCACAAAAACAATCGTCTTTCCAAAATGCTAGCAAATATTACTATTGCCACTTTAAAGATGAGGACACTGAGGCTGGGCACTGTGGCTCATGCCTGTAATCCCAGCACTTTGGGAGGCCAATGTGGGTGGATTACCTAAGGTCAGGAGTTTGAGACCAGCTTGGCCAATATGGTGAAACCCCATCTTTACTAAAAATACAAAAATCAGCCTGGTGTAATGGCAGGTGCCTGTAATCCCAGCTATTCGGGAGGCTGAGGCAGAAGAATCCATTGAAACTGGGAGGTGGAGGTTGCAGTGAGCTGAGATCACACCACTGCACTCCAGCCTGGGTGACACAGTGAGACTCCATCTCAAAAAAAAAAAAAAGCAGGGGCGCTGAACATTAGAAAGGATATAAAACTTGAACAAATGCAAATCAACTAAAAATAGTTAAGCTAATTTTCAAGTCCAGAACTATCTTCTTTTTTTTGAGACAGAGTTTCGCTCTTGTTACCCAGGCTGGAGTGCAATGGCACGATCTCGGCTCACCGCAACCTCCACCTCCTGGGTTCAGGCAATTCTCCTGCCTCAACCTCCTGAGTACCTGGGATTACAAGCACGCGCCACCATGCCCAGCTAATTTTTTGTATTTTTAGTAGAGACGGGGTTTCACTTTGTTTACCAGGATGGTCTCGATCTGTTGACCTCGTGATCCACCCGCCTCAGCCTCCCAAAGTGCTGGGATTACAGGCTTGAGCCACTGCGCCCAGCCCAGAACTATCTTATATATCTGATACACACGGAAATATTCACTGAACCCCAGGGAGAAATGAGAATGAGCATTTTAAAAAGAAAAAGGTTCACATAAGAGATATAATTTTATCATAACAGCATTGAAAGTTTAATCTCTTATTTTTCCCATTTGACTTCTTAAAAAGGGTGGCATGGTCAAGAATTCTCTTTGATATGGTTTCATAATTGTATTCACTTTCTCTCCATCCTGAGACTTTTCCATAAGAATATTCACCTTAATCCGACTTCTACTGCATGGCTGGAAAAGAGGATATGCAATAACTCTTTCCAACTCCTTTATCTCTTTCTTTACTCTCTCATGCTTCTCACATGTAGGTAGTTGGCTCTGGCTTCTTCTCAAGATTCTTTCCTTGAGTCTTTGCTCTGTAAGTGCTCTCCCTTGAATCATGCGTTCCTGGTGATCCTAAATTTGCATCTGTTTCCTCTCATTTACCTGCTTTCTTCTCTGTGCATTCTGGATGCCATGCCCTTCTGGCATAATTTTTGGTAATTTTGTTTCACTGGGGAGTTGTAGCACTTGTCTAAGTGATTTGTTCTTAGATTTTCTAGCCTGTCCTGTATGATGTATGTGCCTTTCTATGTGTTTCATCTCTCTCTCAGGTACCAAATAATACTGTTTTAGTCCTGTGCTTTGGGTTGTTTTCCCCTTCATTTTTTTCTTGATTTCATTGCCAGTCTCTTCTTTCATCATTTCCAGTATTCTTTTATGATGAAAAGACTCTGCTTTGGCAACCAGTAGTCAAGAGAAAGAGCTTTCTCCCTACAGAGTGTTACATACTCATCTTGATATTTCTGAGCTACCAACCGTCTTGCTGCTGTTGTATGCAGACCACCTAGATTCTGTCAAAGTGAAGTTAGGAATTTACGATATGATCATCTTTTTCCTTTGAGAACACATTTAAACAAGATCCAAGCCCACCCTCCCTACTGACACCAGGAAAAGCTAGATGCTCTTTTACTTTAGCTCAATAATTATTATTTTTATTCCCATCACTCGCAGGTGAGCCTGTGAGCTCTGAAAGCATGAAGTATTCACTACCACAAATCAATAACTAGTTTAAAAAATGCATGGTGTTCGAAGTTTTCAAAATGATTTTTTATTTTGCAACTGTGGCTATAGCTGGGAAACATCTGCCAGTGTAGACATACTACCGGAATGCGTCACTTGGGCAGAAGGATTTTAAACCTAAGATTCCTTCTCTGTGTAGTTCTAAACTGTACAATATAAAGACAGTTTACTTACCAAGATCTTTTTCTCCAGTGGAGACTGCTGACCTGCAGCAATCCTAGGATCTTTAGATGAAGTAGCCCAGGCCAATCTGGAAGATAAAAAAACAAAGGTAAATTAAAATGTAGGAGGTGTCAGAACAAAGTTGCTAATAGGCAGGACTACAGCAGGGCCATTGCCCCCATGGGAAACCAGTGCATTCCTGTGGTGGAAAATAATGAATGCTCTTCTAAAAAGAGGATCTTTCCTTTCACATGAACAAGGATACTTTTCCTGTGGACTCAGTGTGAACCACTGTGAATCTTGTATTGGGGATTGTGAGTGGGAAGAGACATGCTCCTTATTGAGGTGTTGTCCAAGTACATCTGTGTCAGACTGCTCAGTCCTCAAGCCTCCTCTGTGTTCTGAGATGATTCTAGGTCCTAGTTTTCTAGATGATTCTAGGTTTCTAGTTTTCTCTTTCTGTAGTTTCTTGATCCAAGCCCTCTCTGCCTCTATCAGCACATACAGCGTTTCTGCCCTCTAATCTTTTGTTCTGAAATTCTGCTTTTTTTTTTTTTTTTTTTGAGACAGTCTTGCTCTGTTGCCCAGGCTGGAGTGCAGTGGCGCCATCTCGGCTCACTGCAACCTCCACCTCCTGCTGGGTTCAAGAAATTCTCCTGCCTCAACCTCCCAAGTAACTGGGATTACAGGTGCATATCACCACACCCAGCTAATTTTTTTGTATTTTAGTAGAGATGGGGTTTCACCATGTTGCCCAGGCTGGTCTCTAACTCCTGAGCTCAGGCAATCCACCTGCCTCAGCCTCCCAAAGTGCTAGGATTACAGGTATGAGCCACTGTGCCCAGCCTGAAATTCTGTTGTTATTTGATTGCCCAGCCCTCTGCTTGCCTGCCTTCCAACGCCAATCATCCTTTACCCTAAATCCATCATGAAACTGTTCCCTGTTAGACTCCTCAGGATGGGAATTTGTGGTTTATTTGTAGAGAAGGCTGGTAGCAACACAAATGAAAACTATCAACTTTTATGTGTCATCCCTGGTCAAACCTGAGCTTACTGTGAGGTCATATTTAAGTCACTGAGGATGCCTGGCATTTCCTCTCTGTGCCTTTTATACCATTTACAGCTCAAAGGATGGGCTTTAGAGTCTGACAGGGCTAGATCTGAATCCTAATTCCACCACTTCCTAGGTGTGAAACTCAGGGCACGTAAATTCTGTCAGTTTTCTCATCTATAAAATGGAGACGTAAGACAAAAATCTGCCTCTCAGTGTTATAAAGAACAATTATGAATTCAAGGTAAAGAGCTTGGTAAGTTCTCAATAAATTCTATCTGTCCTTCACAGGTCAAGCTCCTGACTATAAAGTCTTTCTGCTCTACTCTGTCACAGTGATTTTCCCTTCCTCTAAACACTTGGCATATTTTAATTCTATAACTCATTTGAAAATTAATCATGACTTACACTGATATCTGTAGTCATATATCACTTTTAACATTTTGATGCTGAGATTTAGGCTCATGAGTGGAAAACTGTAATTTGTATCTACAATTGTGATGCCTCTATATTATTGGAAAGGACTTGATATCAAATATTTGGTCTCACTCACCTCTTAGGAACATTCTTATTTGCCTATGTAAGCTTATTTTGAGATTTTAAAAGTATGATCTTACTTTTACTTCTCTGTACATGGCTTCTAGCACAGTACTTAACATTACAGTCTGTGATCCCAAGTTCTCAAAATTAATGACTTTGTTGATTGCTGATGATCCTTGACACATATCTGAACATCTTTTTAAATATTTGCCATACATTGTATCTATCTTTTTATTAAATCATTTCCCAGTCCTCCTTGAAGTTTACAGACATGTTTTCTTTATATGCATGTTCTGGGCTCTCACATTTTGTACCTACTAGCACACTTTTATTGTATCATAATTATTCATTCATGTTCGTTGATGTCAGAGAACACATACTTCAACTTCGCAGCCTCAGCTCAAAACCTGGAATAGTTGCTCAATAAATACTTTGATTGTGAGCTTTTCTTGGGAAAAGGATATGCCTTGTAATGCTTTGTTCCTTTACTGAAATTCACAGGGGATGTTAGCTGAGTGTTTTTCAAATTAAAAAAAAAAAAACTGAGGAGGGCAGAAGGCTAATTTCAAGTTCCATTGACAAAGGACGCAGACACACAGATAAGTGAGAATAAAAACTGCCTATGACAATCAGCTCAACAACACATCTCCCTTTGTAAGACAAGACAAAATAACAAGCCATTTCACAGTTAAGTGATAGGCCTTGTCATTCTTCAGCAGTTTGAGTTTTAACCCTTTCGCTATGGTGTTCTCTCCATTACAGAGAAAGGCAGATGGGAGCCTCTTCCAACGAAAGACTACAGCTTCTGTCCTTCACAAGAGAAAATAGTGATGGCTTAATTATTCACAAGTGATCTTAGTTATTTATAGGTGATCTTAATTCTTTTACTAATGCCTCTCAGGTCTCAGGCCGGAAAGTGAGAACCTGGGGTGACATTGTGAGGGCAATGACCCTAAAGCAAGACGCTTTACAGCAGCTATGCCTGCATAAGGGCGACTAGGGCCGCCTCTGCTGTGCTACCGCGTCAGCACTGAGAAAATGCCCGCTGTTGAGCCAGCTAGGGAAGGAGGCGTCCAAAGCTGGCTGAGACGTCTCATTCACCGGGGGAGTTAAGCGAAAACTCCACTCCTCCAATCTCTTGCCTTAGGCCTGACAGCTGTCAGGTAGACCCACAGGCATCCGGGGGCTTATTTGTCTCTATGTGATGCTGTGCTTCAGTGGTCACATTCCATGTCCACTCTCATGTCCTACTTCTGTACCAGGTTCCTATTTTCTTAGAAGAGATAATCAGTAAGAGTAATATAAACTTAATGTCTTTGTTCTTTCTTAACAAGTATGGAAAAGTGCTAACGCATTAGGCTCCTTGCCTCATCCCGGCTCCTAGAAATTCCTGGGTCCGTACCTGTATGATATGTGATGTACTTGACCCTATCACTGCTACGCCCCATCTACCTTTCCCCTGGTTGCTGACCACCAACCACCAATGCCACACCTACTTACCCTGCCCTCAGCTTTGTACTCAAAAAAAGTCAGAATGCGCAGACACGACCGGGGCCACTGCCGGACTCCGCGATCTGGCTGGCAGTGAACCCCCCCCACCCCACGCCACCCCACCCAAACTTTCTATCTCTGTGTCTTATGTCTTTTATTTCTGGTTTCTTTTCTCCACACCAACAGAGAGGGGCTCACAGAACCCTGTAGGGCTGGACCCTGTACCTCCTGACTTCACCCTCACCACTTGCGGTCCCTCAAGAATCCGACTTACCCCTTACAAGCGGCGAACTGTTCCCAAAGCACACAAGGCTAGTTGCGCTCTGCTGAAAGCCCACGTTCTCCAGCGGGACCCAAGGAACACTAAAACTGTACGTCCCAGAACACTTAGCTTTCTTTTTAACTACTCTGCAGCCGCAAAAGGGAAAAACCTGCTCAGGATCAGGGATAGTTGTAGTTCTCTAATCCAAAGAAATCAGTATTCAGCAAAATACAGTTTTCAGGGGGATATCTCCCGGGACTCGGTTCCTGTAGGATGTGAGACAAAGAATAAATATCCGAGGATTGGGTACTGGTGGGAAAATTTGCTGGAAGCGCAGCATTGGCTACGAATTTTGTGCTCAACGTCTCAGCACTAGGGTGAAAGTGAAGCCGCAAACTCCCTTCGGAGAGGTTAGGCTCCATCTCTAAGGCTCCCGAGACAAGGTTCGCAATTATTTATGACGTCACAACCAATTGTCAGCCCGAATGCGTGACGCTCTAGCCGGCTCTAGCTCGCCGCTGAGCGGCGGGCGTAGAGCTGCCGCTCTAGCCCATGGAGTTGGCTCGCTCCTCTCGCCGGCCCCAGGAAAGGGTTGCAAGTCCTTTACTACCCGACGCTAGCTGGTAAGCCATTCCGGGCGTTTCAGCTCCCTGGTCACAGAGGCAGGAGGCGTGCGTGGGAGGAGAGCTCGGGTTATATACTCCCAGGTACTGGGACAGAACTGTTATGACCTCTGTGTTGGGGGGATTCCTCTCTTTTTGTTAATATAACTTCTAACTCCCTCTTCAGGCCTGACCGCATATGCGTCATGGACCTAGCCAGCACTTGCTCCAGCTTTCAGTCGGACTTGGATTTCTGTTCAGAGTGCGGCTCGGTCCTGCCTCTGCCAGGGGCTCAGGATACGGTTACCTGTACTCGCTGTGGCTTCAACATCAACGTTCGGGGTGAGAGGCTTGTACGCAGTGGTCCTGGCGGAGGGTCCAGGGTCGGAAACTTGGGGACCTCAAGATCGGCAGGGGACCCTAGAGCAGGAGATCAGGCAATTGTACATTTGGTCTCGAGATGAAAAATGAAGGAAAGGATATAGGGCTTCCTGGCCTAACCAGTCAGGGGAAAGGGGAGGTTTCCGGTGTCAGCTCCCTCTGGTTGTCTCCATAACCAGTTCTTACTTGCCTGTGCAGACTTTGAGGGGAAGGTTGTGAAGACTTCAGTTGTGTTCCACCAGCTGGGGACAGCCATGCCTGTGTCGGTGGAGGAAGGGCCTGAGTTCCAGGGACCTGTGGTAAGTTAATGAGCTCAATGACTGGCTCCATAAGGTGGGTAGGAAAGAAACGGAGGAATGATTGCAGAGATCTGGAGAGTTGTGTGCCCAAGTCCAAGAGGGAAAAGAGATGTAAAGCATCCATGTTTGAGAGGAGTGATCGCCTGATTCCTGTGGGAAGTGAGGGGATATGAACTGGCCTCCCTAACCCACCGGTTTCTTCCCAGGTTGACAGGCGCTGCTCTCGATGTGGTCATGAAGGAATGGCTTACCACACCAGACAGATGCGTTCAGCAGACGAAGGGCAAACTGTCTTCTACACCTGTACCAACTGCAAGTGGGCATCCCTTCCCCTCCCTCTGCTCAGTCTGTTTGCTAACTAAACAAATCCAGTGATTCTGTTGTTGTTGTTCTAAACCACCATTTCCTTTCGTCCCATTTCTGTGCAGTTCTGGTAATAAGAACATTTGTGGTTGGTTTTTTTTTTTATTTTTTTTATTACACTTTTTTCTTTTTTTTTTAGTAGAGATGGGATTTCTCTGTGTTTCCCAGGCTGGTCTTGAACTCCTGAGCTCAAGCGATCCACCCACCTCAGCCTCCCAAAGGGCTGGGATTACAGGCATGAGCTACCCTGTCTGACCTACTTTTAGGATATATAAAAGGAAATGAAAAAACAAACAAACAAAAAACATAAGAAGCAGGTATTGTTTAGTGGTCGGCATCTTATACTGCAGTCTTCAACTGCAGTCAAGGTAGCTTTACATTGGAGAAAATTAGTCACGCACGATTTAGGGAACATGGGCTTTCTGAATTATTTTAAGACATCATCTTTGTCTTTGGTGTCCTTCAGTCACTATAGTATATAAAAATGTGATTTTTTAAAAATTCCGTTTGGGATTTGTTGCACTTTCTGAAACTGAGAGTGAATTTTTTTTTTTTTTAATCAGCCTTGGAAAATTATCAGCTATCATCTCATTTAATATTGCCTTTCCCCCATGTTCCCAGTCCTCACATTCTGGACCTCTAATTAGTTACAAGAAGAGAGGTGTCTCTTTTGTCCTCCATTTCTCTCACCCTCTTTTCATATTTCAATCGCTTTTCTCTTTATGCCACCTTCTGGGTAATTTCTTCAGGTCCCTCTTCCATGTCACTAATTCTGTCTTCAGTTTATTTTAAATATTATTTTTTATTATTGCTATTACTTTGAATTCTATTTACTTTTCAAATCTCCTCAATTTTTAAATAATTTTCAGTTCCTTAATCATATTTTAAATTGTTCATTCTTTATATATTTAAAATATTAATTATGGTTATTATAGTCTATGTCTCATAATTCTGATATCCATGGATTTTGTCTTCTGATGCTGCTGTCTTTTGTTTCTGCTCTCTCATGGTGCCTTTTTTCTGTTTTGTGATTTTGTCTATAAATTTGAGTTTTTTAGAACTTGAACTGTAGGAATTCTTTGAGACCTTGAGTGAGTGCTGTATTCTCAGCATTTGCATTTCTTTTCCTTGAAGCACTATCAAGCTGGAATTACTTTAAATAAATTCTTGGCTTCATGTTTTTTGGAGCAGACAGATAGTATGAATTTGAGCTGCAAATCCACGTAAGGGTTAGCTTATGGTTAGAAATTCTCAGGAGAGAGTTTTCTCTCCTGCCTACTAAGACAAATTCCCCTTCTATAGAGTTGAATTTTTTCTTTTCTTGTTCACTTTTACAAAAAAGGGCAGCTCTTTGCAGTTCCCAAATTTATGCAGGGAATCTCCTATCAGACCTTTTACATTTTGTCCCTCATTTCCTATGCTTTCAGTGACCGTCATAACAGTATTAAGGGCACCATAGTGTCACGTTTCATTGGGACTTCAGTTTTCACTGTCTGGATTTCTGGTTTTGCATAACTTTTACCAGTGTGAAGTTTGCCTTTACTTTCTCACCATCTCATCAATGGATTAAAAATATTCACAGTCAGATATATCTTTTAAGAGTATTTTTTCCTATCGCTGGTTGTCATTTTACCAAAAAAAAAAAAAAAAAAAAAATTTTTTTTCCCTGACTGTGGCTTGCCTATTTATTTTCTTAACCCTCTTTAAATGAGCAGAAGTTTTAAGTTTTTATGAGGTCCAGCTTATCCCTTTTTATTCTTTTACAGCTAGTGCTTTTTGTGTCCTAAGAAACCTTTGCTTTGAGGTTATAATTCATTGGATATATTTTTAATCCCAGCATTTTTAGTTGTCTTGGAATTGGAATTGGAGGATTATTTAAGGGAGCTAGTCCTCAATGATGTCGTAAATAAAAGTCCTTCCTTGATTATTTAATTGCATATCTTATACTACTAGAAACTCTTCTTTGAGTGAATATAACAAGTCCTTTCTTTCCTCATAGGTTCCAGGAGAAGGAAGACTCTTGACCTTTTTTCTGGACAACTCAACAGTCCCTCCCTCCTTTTGGAAAGTGAAGGATGCTGGGTTCTTCAATGCCTTATCCATCCCATCTGGTTGCAATGTTTTGCTCCCAGAAGAGAATCAGATCATCATGTGGGGATTATCATTGTTCCCAGAGTACTCTTACCTTTAGTTGAATTTCCTTATTAAAGTTATATTTTTCCATAAGACCCTGACATATGTATGTTACTTATAATCTACCTTATTCCAAAAGGAATTTAAATGAGTTTACAGAGATATATGAAAACGAAAAGGGGGAAAAATAAGGACAAAAAAGTAGAGTCAGAAATGAGGCTAATGTAAACAAAAAGCAATTATAAGTATTGCCACTCTACTTAAATCTATTTGGTTCCTGAATTTAGGGTAAGAAAAACTAGGAATTTGGAGAGTGAGACATTTCACAGAAATTCTGACCAGATATCTTCAGTATATAAATTTGGACAACAAAAAATCTACATAATACCACTAAGTGATCACTACAGGTGGATATTTTATTACTGAGATAAATACAATATACAGTTGACTCTTGAACAACACGGGTTTGAACTACTTGAGTTTACTTATGTGGATTTTCTTCCACCTCTGATACCCGTAAGATAGCATCACATTTAAGCCCTCCTTTTCCTCCTCCTCAGCCTACTCGACATGAAAATGTGATCCACTTCTACTTAGTGAATAGTAAATATATTTTCTTTTCCTTATGATTTTCTTAATGTTTTCTCTAGCTTACTTGGCTGTAAGACTGCAGTATATAATGCTATACAAAACGTGTTAATCAACTGTTTATGTTATTGGTAAGGCATCCAGTCAACAGTAGTTAGGTTTTGGGGGAGTCAAAGTTATATATGGATTTTCAGCTGTTCAAATGGTGAGCACCCCTTATCCCCACATTGTTCAAGGATCGACTGTATATTATAATAGATTCCTATATAGTAACATAGAAAAAAGTAAAGTCACAAGGAATCCTACTCCACAGAGATAACCAAATTATACGGTGTATCTGTGCTTGTGTATATGTATGTGGCTCTATATATGTGTGGTGCTATATGTGTTTGGTTTTTCTTAATGGACTATACTAGATATGCTGAACTGTCTTGCTGTTTTCTGTTTGGACCAAAAACTTTCAAGGGGAACAAATACATACTCAGGTTCTGCATTCTTGGGCTTAAATGGCGATCGAAGGGTTCAGTAATAATTATCACATAATTGTATGGCCCTTTATATATATTCAGAGCTCTCAAACAGCTATCTTGTTTGACAGCAACCTGGAAAATGGGTAGGGTAGTCTTTCCCACTGTACATTTGAACTGTTGCAGCAGTTGACTTTCCTGACCCACTCCTGAAATCTGAAACAAACCTATTCATGTTTCTACCCTACTTTAAGCCTTTCTCTGGCCCATAACACTGACTGGATTAAGCCCAAGTTTCTTAGGAAAGTATTCAGATCCTTGCATATAACCACTACTTACCTGTCAAGCTTCATCTGGCAGTCCCTCAGATCCAAGCAGTACAAAACTCCATTTCCTGTAGTACACACATCTACAACTTTGTAAGCTGCTCTCTAAAACCTACTTGTCTGCCTTCCTGGTTCTTGTTTTACCACTTTCTTTTGCCCTCTTAAGAAACGTGCATATATCTTTATAAAACGGTCTATACTGTAATTTATGACCATTTCTCTGCTTCATCCTACTCATCACCCCAGAGAGAATGTTGGCAGTAACTAAATTCAGATTTACAGATCAGACTTGGCATTTGTTAATGCTCCAATACTTCATATTTTTGTCAGTTTTCCGCTTGCCTACCTTTCCTACTAGAGTGGGAGCTAAAAGTCAGGGTCTGAGTGTCTTACGCGCCTCCATCTTCAAGGCGTAGCACAGTGACTGGGAAAAAAAAAAAAAAAACACCCACGTTGAACGTGCACTAAACTGCCCTGCTCAAACACCTACAGGCACGAGGCGAGGGCTAGGACCCACATCACTTGAGTCTTAAGTGTGTTTCCAACTGCTCCCAAGTTCCTTTTTCATTAGAGAAACCCAGACGAAACAACAAGGAAAGGGAAATAGGCCACGATAGGGTCTATATTTCTCCTCAAGTTTCCTCGCCCGTCCACTCACCCAGACAGGGTAAATGGACTGCGGCAGGACTCAGCCTGGTGCACACACCTCGCCCTCGTCACACCCACTATGCAGTTTCTTGCCCGGCTGTACCCATCTGGGCGCCTCTCCTGCTTCCTCTAGGCTGTGCAAGCGCGAGCTGCCCTTGACTCTCGCCCCGCCTCCGACACCGGCAATGATACCCCTTCCGCCAAATTTGTTTCTCTTTCTTGCAGCGCCTGCGCGCTGTCACGTTACGGCGGAACTAATCCAGCGACGCCTGCGCTTTGACGCATTTGGTGCCGGGGAAGGGAAAAAGGAGGACTGCAGAATGCGTCACACCCGGAAGCAGAGAGCCGGAAGTGGAGTTGGCCAGGCTATCCCGAGGGGTGGAGAAGCGGAGGCCCAAGAGGAGGGGGAAAAAAGAAGGTGGAGGATCCTGGCTACCACTCTGAATCCGATACCGCTTCTCTTAGACCTCAGAGACAGAAAAAGGGAAGGGTGTCTTATCCCCCTTCCTCCTCTCATCCCTCTCCTGAGCCTTAGCCATGGCCGAGGCAGGGGCTGGGCTGAGCGAGACCGTCACTGAGACAACGGTTACCGTGACAACCGAGCCCGTGAGAAAGGCGGGGGGCGGTGCTGTTAGGGGTCTGGGAGATACTGGGAGGGAGGGGACAGGGCTGAGAAGAGTTGCTGGAGGAGCTGGGCCTGGGGATATGGGAGGTGTGGGGTTGGGTATCTGGGGCTGGGAGAATCGGAAGGTATTGGAGCTATTTGGAGTGGCAGAGATGGTGCAGGAGGCTGATCAAGAGACGTAATAGGGAGGTACAGTAAGGATATGGATGTATGCTGCTTGGGTTATGTGTATAAGTAATGAACGAATGGGAAATTGAGGATTAAGGAGCCAGGAAGATGTTGGGAGGAAATCAAAGGTCGTGTAAGATAGCACAGTTGAAGGCCAACTTATCAATATTATCAATACTTATCATAAATATTTGTTGAATGGATGAATGTAAAAGGAAGTGACAGGAATGAGGAAACAAGAAAATTAGATGAAAACAGGCATTTTGAGAAATCAGAGAGCAAAGATGTAAATGGAGAAACAAGAAGTATTTTTCCAAAAACATGTTAAGTTTCCTTCAAAGGGAGAAGGTTGCATTGGGCTTAATACTCTTGGATTAAAGGGAGTTTAGTAATTAATAGATTAGTAATACTTGCTACTAGAGATGCCAGGATGCAAGGGAATGGGCGGATAAGAGGTAAGGAGGGCTGGAGCTTGAGAATGAGAGTTGTTGTTGTTGTTGTTGTTTTTAATGGGAAAAAGAATAGGGGATCTGGAAAAAGGAAAGGAAATCAAAGATTAGGTGCTGGGGACCGAAAAATAATTTTCATGTATTCATACTACCAAGGATGATTTGGGGAGGAAGACAGAGAAACAGCAAGGATTATATTTTCCTTCAAAGAGTTGCTGGGACCTTCCCTAGGTTAGCAATTGAATCCTCTTATACTGGTGGTATAAGAACAGGAAATAATACTATTCCTCAAGGGACTCCCTGAGGTCAAAGACCTGTTCTGTTTTATCTTGTCTCAGCTCCTCTGGTGCTATGTCTATGGTACTGATTGAACTAAAGAAGAAAAGAGAAAAGGTTCCCTGGGAGGGAGTGGGAAAGGTCAGTAGGAAGGAACTAGATAGGTACGCCCATCCTTAACCTTCTAGGAGAACCGGAGCCTTACCATCAAACTTCGGAAACGGAAGCCAGAGAAAAAGGTGGAATGGACAAGTGACACTGTGGACAATGAACACATGGGCCGCCGCTCATCAAAATGTGAGTAATTGTTGGCCCACAGTAGTCCTGGAGTTCTGGCTCCCTTCAGCATATCTTGTATCTACTCATATTCACTGGCTTTCCAGAAGCCCCCAGATGCTTGTAATTCTGTCACTTTTTTGGCGGTTCTCTGGTATCAGGGAAAGAGGTTAAGGGCTGAGGGAAAGAGGTAGGGACGGGCTAGAATTGGATTTGCCTAGGTCTGCCAGCAAGAAGTATCAGAGGTGGCAGAAGTGGGGCTTTGATTTCTTGGTTCTGTAAGAGGACAAGGGGGCTAGGGCCTGAGTCCCAAGGGGTGGGCCTGGGGGAGCTGGATCCTGGAAGGTAAGAGGAAATAGAAATTTTCACTGAGATTGAGTGCAAATGGAACTGATTGTACATCTTACCCTTCCTCTTTAACTGGGCTCCTCTCTCTAAATCCAGGCTGCTGTATTTATGAGAAACCTCGGGCCTTTGGTGAGAGCTCTACGGAAAGTGATGAGGAGGAAGAAGAGGGCTGTGGTCATACACACTGTGTACGTGGCCACCGCAAAGGACGGCGTCGTGCATCCCTGGGACCGACCACCCCTCCCCAGCCTCCTGACCCTTCCCAGCCCCCACCAGGGCCAATGCAGCACTAAATTCCTCTCTACCCAACCATTCCTGTGTCTGTCTGGCCCTGAATGTATCCATGTGGCTACTTCTCCAGCCCCTTCCTTCCCTCTCTTTTGCCTGATAGAGGGAAGAGGAAGAGAAGAGTGGACAGAGATCCTGGAATTCTGACTTGCTGCTATTCCAGAACCCAGGCTCCTGGGTTCCCCTAGTCCTCATTTTTCCTCCCAATACTCACCCTTCTCTCTCGAGGGATCTAGGCACCCTGGTCCCAGTCTCTTCCTTTTGTTCTCACTGCCAAACTGCCTGTCCTGGGATCTAGTTATCCTGGCCCTGCACTCTCAACTTGAGTAGTGAACACTTAAATTGGGTTTTCAACAATCCCAGCTTTCACTGCCAGGGCCCCAGTCAGATTCCAGGAATTCGCACTCTAGCTATGCTTGCTAATCCTGGTTTAGAGCTATCCCACTAAAATAGTTAATCCAATTCTTAGTTCTTGCCTGTGAGATATGAGGTCTTACAGGAGACCTCAGGGCTCCCAGCCCTTCTCCTTTTGCTAACCCTCTTCATGCCCTCAAGAGGAGTTAGGAGAGAGGTCCTTGCCATTCTCACCTCTAATGGAAAATGGAACGAGAGATAATCATATCCTGTCTTCCCACCCTTCTCCTGTGATTTAGGATTTCTGACAAAGCTGGCTTGAGATTGATCACTTAGAGCCAACTATCTACTCAGCCTTTTGTTTTTCACCTTCAGAGACAAATCCAATATAGTCCCAGGGACCTGGGGGGAAAGGGAGGGAGCAAAGAGATGGGGGTATATCCCCTATACTACACTCTTACCGCTTACTTCCTAGGCATTGATTTCTCTACCAGTCCAGATGTTCAGTTCTCTTGGCCCTCCCTACCCCTTACTGGGATCTGGTTTTCATTTTCCAGCCCTTGCCATACACAATTGCAGAGATCAGTCAAATCCATACCACCACTGAGATCTCATTTATTGCCACAGATGCACAAAATAAATAACCCAAAATCACAAAATGTGTTAAATATGGGCCCATTTATACATATGGGGAAGGGCGTGAGACTATACACAAGGATGAGTTTGGGGATGTCTGAAGTATTCCCAGGTTGAGGAGGGAGAAGGGAAGTAGCACCATTGGTTTCTTTCTGTAAATATGTGCGCAGAGAAGTTTCAAGAAAGTTCTTATGGAAAAAAGGCTGTGAGCATAGAAAGCAGTCATAAGAGGTTGGGGAACTAGCTTGTCCCTCCCCACCCCCTGATCCCCCAAAAGGGTTATGAAGCTTCCTAGAGGGTCCCAGGGCCCAGACCAGGGTCAAGCCTCTTGTTTTAGGAGAACCCTCAGTGGACAGGCAGGGTAGCCCAGTCCTTAGATCTGTGGGGAAGGCCCTGAGCCCTTCTTTGGAGCTGAGAGGCAAGAGTGGGAGTTAAGTATTTGACTAGCAGAGCCTCTGTGTAGGAAATGCAATCACTTTACCAGTACTGCTAGGGAGGAGGAACTGTCCCCCACTGCAGGCCTAGAATAGTATAGAAGGGGGGAAGTCAGTTAGGAAGTAAGTACTGTAGTAGCTGTAGGGGAGAGAAGATCCTTAGAGCCAGGGAGCCCGAATGGATTTGGTTTTGAGCAGGGATGTGAAAACTTGGAGGCCAGCTGTCTTATTATTTTAGGGGAAAAAATGTGGGTTGGTATTAATACTCCTACAATGGGCGTGTGAATGAGCTCCCTGAAATTAGAAGGGAATTCCACGCCCAAAAAGAAGCAGCTGCAGGGCCAGTGGCCGGGCCAGACTTCTAGCTGGAGACGAGACTCAGCTTTCCGCTGGTACAATGCGGAGTGGGGCACGAGGGTCACGGGTGCAGAACAGCGGGAAGATGCGCTCCCCCAAGGGACCGGGCGCCTGGAAGGCGAAAAGCAAGTCCAGTGAGCGGCCGTCGTAGAAGGCCACACGGCCCCGCTCCCAGTCCAAGTCCACGCGAATGCGCCGCGGCGGGGGCTCGGCGCCGCCCAGCAGGGTAGGCTCGGGTGCCGTGAGGGCCCACAGGCGGCCACCGCGGCCCTCCACGGCCCACACGGCCCCCGCAGGGCACAGCCTCACGCGGCCCTTGCGTTGCACGGATTCCCCAGCGGCGCCCACAGCATAGTGGCTCTCCCCGTCGTCCTCATCCTCCCCAGAAGAGTCTCTGCAGGAGGCGGCGTCCCCAGTCTCTACTTCCCAGCAGTGGCGGCCGGCCCCGAAGCCCTGCGAGCCCAGCACAGCCGGGAGCTGATCGAAGCGCGTGGGGGCGTCAGGAGGCGAGGGTGTTCCTGGTGGAGCCAGTTGGACGCTGCGGCGGTCGGCGGAGATGAGTAAGCGACGGTGCGCAGTTCCAGGGTCCAGGGTCAGGTCGGCTGAAGAGGGGGAGGGAAGGAGAGGACATCATGAGTTTTCTAAATCACAGGTGGGGTAGGGTGGCGAATAGTCGACGGAGAGCATGTAAAAGACTGAGTGCTAGTGACCCCACAACAGCTCAAAAGGACCCAAAAGAAGGAAGGCATTTGACGAGCAGGCTTGGGCAATATCGGACGTTGCTCTGATGCACCACTTCTGTAGAAATGAACTTGGGGAAGGATCATACCGGCCCAGGCCCGGGGAGCACATCAGGAAAATCAAAGGAGAGGCTGTGGGGTTGAGGGAGGAAGAGTGAGGCTGATCTGACTTCGAGGGAGGAGTAAGGGCTGATACCTCAATCTGCAGCATCTGGGGTGGAGAATGGGAGCTGGGTCAGCAAAATGGGGATGGCTCATCTAAAGAGAAAGGCATACTGATACTGGAACCTCAAGTGACAGGGAGGGGCACAGGGAGGAATCCAAGGTATCCTGAGAAACCAGACCACCCACCCACAGCAATAGGCGGGGGTGGACAGGCCTATTTCTATAGAGGGTGTGGGGAAGAGGCGGAGAGCAAGTAGTGATAGCCAGAGACCAGAAAGAAAGAACCATTAACCTTGTATGTGTGGGGTGCTTTGAAGAAAGATTTCTGAATTAGGGGGTACCAGAAGCAATCTGGACTAGGTGAGATGATGGATGACCAAGAGGGTGAACCATTTTCTCTAGGCGGTTTAAAGAAGGGTAGAGGGCACCCTTGTTCTTGGGAGTGAGTGAGGAAGGAAGGGTCAAAGAGATGCTGGGGTCCCCTTCCAGAGAGGAGTGATGAGAGGTGGTGGAAGCAGAGGTTTCCTGGGAGGCACCTAACCTTCAGGGAGCTGCTGTTTGACTATGAAAAAGGAAGAGGGAAAATGGTTGGAATATGAGGACTCGAGGATGGACGTTGTTATAGGCTGAATTGTGCCCTCCCCCCACCCAACCCCCACCACTCGCGCGGGCACACACACACACACACACACACACACAAAGATAGGTTGAAGTCCTACAAACTTCCGAATGTGACCTTGTTTAGAAACAGGATCTTTACAGAGGTAATCAAGTTAAAATGAGGGTCATCAGCATGGCCCCTAATCCAGATTGCTGACTTACAGAAAGAGAAAATTTGGGCACAGAGACAAATGCATGCAAAAGAAAATGTGCAGGCCTGTCACCCAAAGCAAGCGAGGCTACCAGAGGGCAGGAGACAGGCAGGGAACAGGTTCTGTCTCATGGCCTTCAGAAGGAAGCGACACTACCCACGCCTTGATTTAAAACTTCTACCTCCTGAACTCCAAGATAAACGTCAGTGGTTTAAGCCCCCTGTTTTATAGACTTCATTGCAGCAGTGCAGGAAACTAATGCAGACATAAGAAAGGACCTGATCTTTTTTAGGGCCAAAAGGGAGAAAATCTAACACAGACGCTCATTCAATTCCCTTCCCTCCCTTCTTCCCTCCTTACCTGTCAGTCTGTGAAGCATGTTTTTGACCACTGGATAATCTTCAGGGAGATCAGCCTCTGGATTAGGTGACTTGGGTGCTGGGACTTCAAATCTAGACAGATGAGGGGAAGGGTCAGCAAATCAGCCCTCTGATGCTAATGCCCCACACACATACCTCACTTGAATCTCTGGAGGGAGAAGGGGTGAGGCTATACCCCCAGAAAACCTGCCTATTAATGGGAACAAAGATGTGGGCCCAGTGGGAACATGATGGCTATGGTAGCTGCTAGTGAAAAGGAAAGAACAGTAAAAGCAGAACTCACCGTCTCCACGTCTTCCTCATATCCTACGATGGACAGAAACAAACATGGATGTGAGGTCTGGGCTTCATTCTGGGGCATCCTTCCCTATCTTCCCCCCTGCCCAGGTGAGCTCTGAGTTGGCAGCGTCCCACCTTACCTTTCAGGCTGATCTCGCCTCCTTACCCCCTGTGCTCCTTTACCTCTCATTCTCCTCCTTCACCTTTCATGATCCCTCCTTCCTCTCACCCTGTAACTTTTTCCTCATCCTCCTAACTCCATCCCCACTGTCCTCCCCATCTCCACTCCCCAAGCGTTCTCAATTTTCCTTTCCCAGCCTCATCCATGCCTGTTTCTTGTCCCCAGAGCCCTTGTCTTCCTCTGCTGCCTCCCATTCTCTGTCTCTTTCAGTGCCTCTATCCTTATCTGTCTTCCCCAGTGCATCCCAGAAAAACATCTGTCCCTTCCACCCTCCATCACACAGACCAAATACACACCCAGAGCCCTTGGGCTAAGAGTTGGTATATAAAAGCCTTACAATAAAGCTGTTTCCCCTCTTACAGTAAAAGCCCCATGGCATTTATTGGGCCCTTTGCATTGTGTCTCTGGACGCTGGCCAGGGAGGCAGCTGGGCTTGAGTGTGTCCCTAAAAGCCCAGCAGATCCGCAGAGTACTATGGGAGCCAGGAGAGGGCACTGGATGCTCCCCTCCAAATACTGGGATGCCGACCCCTCCACTTTACTGTCCAGTGCTGATGGCTGGAGTAGGCTGGTAAGGTAGAGAGGGGTAGAGAGAAACAATTTGCCTAATTGTGCCAATTACACTCAGACTAATTAGGTCTATGAAGACTTCAAAGGCCAGAAGCAAGACCCAAGACCAGCTTGGCTGCTGGGGAGAAGCCAGTCAGGAATCTCAGACGCCCAGGTGTCGGGCAAGGGAATGGGGTTGGTGGTGGCCAAGAAGCCGGGGCGAGGGAGAGACGCGGGGTTAGGTGGGTGTTAAGACTGAGAGGTGGAGAGGAGCCAGAGGCCGCGAGGACGGTTCTCCCGCACCTCGCCTCCACCCGTCCCCGCTCCTGCCCGGGGCCCTGGGAGGAGCCGAAATAACAATAACAAACAACACACAGCTTAGCTTGAGCCAGAGTCCGGGACCAACCCCCACGACGCTATAAGGGCGTTTGCATCTGCGCTCCCCTCCCCACCTCTTCCATCCTCCGATCAATCTCCTCCTCTCCAGCTTTTTCTCCGCCACCCACCAACCGGCCGAACCTCCTACTCCCCTCCTCTAAGCAGATTCTGCCCTCGCCCACCATCCTCCCAGACCCCCGCTCGCCCTCTCCTGGGTTGGCTCCCCTTTGCGCCCACCGCTCCCTTCCCTCCGCCAGCTCTCCTCCTGCCGGGCGCCTGCAGCGGCCCTGTCAAAACTCCTGCAGTTCCCGCGCTCTTCGCGGCAACTCTAGGGCTCTCCGCGTTCTATCCAGTACCCCTTCTCTGCCTTCCCAATCTCTTCTCCCCAGCCCCTCTCACAAGGCTCAGGCATCCGTCCAGCCTCCTCCCCTGTGAACCAAGTGTCAACTCCTCTTTCGTCCTTCTCGGCGTCTCGCACCTTAAGGAGCCAGCGTCAGCCCTCGCCCCCTCATCCTTTGCTTTTCTCTCCCCACCCCATCCTTTGCCTAAACTTCCACAGGGGCTCCGCCTCCGGAGGTGCCATTCCCGGCTTCCCCGAGGAACCCAGAAACCTCCCCCTTACACCAACAACTCCGCACTCGCAATGCGCGCCCAGCCTCACCTCTCCGTGCGGGTCCAGAGAGCCCATGGTGGGGATGCGCCCCCCTCGGCGTCTCCCAGTGAGGGCCCCAGGCTCAGCCAGCTTCTGTCGCAGCTCGCGGCTGATCCGCACCTCCACAGCCAGCCGCACATTAGACCTCAAGCTGCGGCGGGGACACGGCAGGCCGCAGCAGGGACAGGCGGTGGGGGAAGCCTCGGTGCCAGTCGCCGGCGGGGTCCCCCAGCGACGGGCCAGACACGCGCGGCAGAAGCTGTGCTCGCACGCCAGCAGCACCGGGTCCTCGAAGGGGCCCCCGCACAGAGGACACGTCGCCAGCTGCTCCAGACGCTCCACCAGCCCCGGGCCCAGCTCAGGCGCATCCATGGAAAGCCGGGATCTGGACGCCGCCCTTTCCGCGACCACCGCGACCGCCTTCGAGCGCGCAGATGGCGGGCCGCCCCTGCTGCTTGCTGTGTAGATGCCCTTCTCTCCGACTCCCGCATTAACTTTTGCCGCTTTCTGCCCCTCTCCTGGGATTGCCTCTCTCTTCAACCAGTCTCAGTCTCGGCCAATCTCTCCACCACATCAGGCTTTATAGGGAGGGAGGAGGCTCCCACGGGAGGTAAACACTAGGTCTTGCGCAACGCCTCATCTGGTTCTCCTGCTTCCCGAGTAAGGTTTGGGGGAGGAGGAAGGGGAAAATAGTACACCTGGGTCCCCGAGCCTAGGAGGCTGCCACTAGAGGGCGCTCTGGGGGCGGGGTAGCCCTGTAGGGGGAGGGTAGCCCCCTGTGACCCCCCCCCAAGAGCCCCAGTTTTACGTTATGCATGTGGTGCGCACATGGGCCGGGTGCCCAGGCTCGCTCTTGGCATGTGCACCCACATTGCCAAGGTGTGAGTCATTCCAGGTGGCTGGCACACCTACCTCTGGGGGCTGGGGGCCGGAAGCACAGATCCTGGTTTGCGTGGCTTTGGCAAGCCTCTGAGTGTTGATGTGTGGTTGTCATTCCCTCTCGCCTTTCCGTCTTCCTTCCTTACCTATTAAGGGCTTAAGGGCACTCTGAAGCTCTAGGGTAAGGGGTGGAGAGCAGGCGCCCACACTCGGCCTCGGAGTCAGAGCAGAGCTCTCTCTGCTCTAAGTCTGGCCAGCTCCCAGGGCTTCGCCTTACTTTCATTCTGGGTCTCTCTTTCTGATCCTTTCTCTCTATTTTTCCCTGTGTGTGTTTTTATTTTCATTTTTATCTTTCCCCGCTTCTTTGGAATGTACCCAGTATTCTCTATTTCCATTCTGGTAGTTCACTGAGGCTCAGGGAGCTGGAATAGCCGAGGTCACATAGTAAGGGAATGACCAGAAGTGGAGCCTACCCTGGTCTTCTTCTGACTTGTGCTCTTGCTGTGACTCAACCCTGCCTTTTTCGCTGACAGATCTCTGGGACTCCCTCCTGGTTCCTGATTTTTTTCTGATGTTCCTTTGTGCCTTCATTCCTCACTTCTATCTCTCTCTTTTTCTCCTTACCTGCTCCTCTCCCCACCTATCCTCTTCCTCTCTGCTCCCACCTCTTCCTAGCTTCTCTACCCTTTCAGTCCAGGTCTAGCTGACTGGATACTCATGGGGTTTGTGCATAAGTAAACATCCAGATGTCTACAACTATGATCACCCACAGTTATATAACATGTGTCTGCGTCCATCAATGTCCAAATGCTCTAATGTGTCTAAACCTGCAGATGAAAGCACTCATGTAATACAAACACCACAGATATATATCCTGTGTATGAATAGCCTCATACACATCGTCTATCACTGGGATAAATGTCCAGTGTTATTTAGGAACAGATGGACATGCTCAAAGAAAACAGACAAAGAGGCAGATACTCTATCATTAGTTTTCTTATTAATAAGAACAACAGTGTAACAGCAGTAAGTCTTTATGGAGCAGCAGGACTTCATTAGACACCCCTCCAGGCACCCTTCTTCTTCCTCCCTCATACTTATCAGGGAGACACTCAAATATGACACCCTGATAAACAAACCTGCACAGACAAACACACAGACATTCATCTTGGAACAGCCCTTCCAGCTCAGTGCCCATAAAACACACAGATACCCAAGCATAAGACTAGTTATGACTGAAATCTATTTTGTAACAGGAATAATGATCCCCCAAAGTTGTCTACGCCTGTCCTAATTCCTGGAACCTGTGAATATGTTACCTTACTTGGAAAAGGAGAATTAAGCATGCAGGTGGTATTAAGATTGCTAATCGGTTGAGTTTAGAGTAAGGAGTTTATTCCAGATTATCCACATGGGTCCAATGTAATAACAACCATCCTTAAAAGGGGAGGACCGAGGCAGGTGAGGAGGAACAGAGAGATAGCAGCATGAGAAGTGATTGCCCTGGCTTTGGAGACTGTGGCTGGAAGCCATAAGCTAAAGAAGTGGGGAGCCTCTGGAAGCTGCAAAAGATGGGGCAATGAAGTCTCCAGCAGACCATTCAGAAGGAACCAAGCACTGCTGCCACCTTGACTTTTGCCCAGTAAAACTTATTTCATACTCTGAACTACAGAATAATAAAGTAACAAATGTGTATTGTGTCAAGCCTCTACGTTTCTGGTAATTTGTTGCAGTATCGTTAGGAAACTAATTCACAAGCTTGCCTTTCTCCTCGTCTCTGGCTCTCTGCGTCTATGCACTCTACCACATGCACTCTCTGTTGTCGCACCTTCTAATTTGTCACATTTCTGGATTCTCTGCCTCTCTTGACCTTCTTGTCAGTCTCCTGTTGTCTCTTTTCCTTTGGATTACTTCATAGTCCTCGCTTATCCCCGACTCCAAGGCCTCTCAGGACCTTTTTGGATCTGGGCTTGAAGTACTAGAGAAATGTCCCTGAGTCTCAAGAACCTCAATTGTCACCAACCCAGGTGCCTTGCCATGGCCCTCATGAGCTTTTCAGTGGTTAACAGCTTCATTTGCGCATTAGAATCATCTGGGAAACTAAAATTCCTGATGCCCAAGTGACACCTCAGACCAATTAAACGGACACTCTGGGGATGGGTCCCAGATGTCAGGACTTTGAAAAGCTTTCCAGGTGGTTTCAGTGTTTAGCTAACAGGGAAACCATGGCTTTGAATGATGGCTGTCACTCCATTTTGCTCCTTATGCTCTGCTGCAGCGCCTTCTATCTGTTGTTCCCTGAGCATGCCGCTGCTGGCGCCTTTGCACTTGCCGCTCCCTCTACTTGGGCCTCTGCTCCTTCAGAGCTTCACATGGCTTTCTCCATTTTCTCACTCATGTCTCAACCCAAAGGTAACATTTAGAGAGGACTTCTTTTACCACATGATTCTCAAGTTGTCTTTCTCAAAGGCATTCACTAACTCTGTACCCAGATTTAGTATCTTCCTGGTATTTATTACTGTCTGCGATGATCTATTTATTGACTTTTCATCTGTCTCTCTCCAACAGAACTAACCTTCATGTTTGCTGCTGCTTTCCCTGCACCTAGAACAGCACCTGGCACACAGTGAGTCTCAATAAACTTCGGCTCCATTGTTGAATTGCTCGTGACTGATTGGACAATGTGAGAGGGTCATTTGATTGACTCTGCTTAGACCTTCAGATCTTCTCAATCATTAGTCGTGCCTCACTGACATATGCCAGGCACAGTGCTGGGAAATGCTCATGTGATATGAGACGTATGGTACTCAGTCTGGCTAGGAAGCTTGTGACTAGTTGTCGTTTGCCTTCCATAACCAGGTGATGAGGATTCCTGCTAACCAAGCATCAGCTCAGCCTTTATATCCTGGTTACAATGAGTTCATACCTAATGGTTCCAGGATGCCAGTAAGGGAAAAGGCATTTGGAGACAGACTCTGCCAGGGAACATCTCACTTCTCAATAACTTCTCCCTCCCTTTCCATAATCCCTAACAACTCTAAACTTGATCCCCTAATTACCTTCCAAAGAGACTGCTGGAAGGGTGGGTGTGATTTTCTATGTGTCGGCTTGGCTTTGCTTGCTCCAGTTGATCATGATGGGATCCTGTCTCTCTGCTAGGATCCACATCTTCCTTCCTTAATGTAGGTGCCTCCCCAATAACTGTTCCCACCCCTTTCCAGCTTCTTCCAGGATTCCTACTTGTGGTGTTGTGGAGTGTGACAGCTTGATACCCATGCATGGCGGGAGTTAGAGGTGGGAGAGGTCTTGACCCATGCCTTTCTTTTCTTCTCTGCCTCTTCTTTCTTCTTTCCTTTTATTTATCCTTCAGTGTATCTCCTTCATATTAGTAACATCCTCATGCTTTTTAAAACCCTGCAAGTTTTTAGAATCTTTCAAGAGGGAGAGAGAAGTATGAAGAGGTTTTGGGAAACTAATGAGAGGACAGTCATGGTCCCTGCCCTTAGGAAGTGTGATAAGGCAAGTAAAGAGCACCCATTCATCAGCAAAATTTACCACTAATGAATTAGGGTATGTAATACGGCAGATAAGGTGTATCCATCATCAACTTAAATCTGTCATTACCAAATTATAAAGGTGCAGTGAGGGGGGTTAGAGTGGGTGAGGATTCTGTTGACATATTGAAGGACAAGTGGGAATGATTTCAGGAAGTCTTCCAGGAGGCAGTGACCTACGAATGAAAGGAAGGTTGTGTTGAGTGGAAGAGAAGTGAAAAGGCCTGAGCAAAGAATGTGAAGCATCTCTGGGGAGAAAACTGGATTGGGAAAAGAAGGCCTTGGAGGGAAGAAATCCAAATGAAAGAGATCATAATTTTTTCTCAGTTCATACTCACTATGCTTCCCAAAGATTTTCTTCAGTCTTGATTGTTTCTATAATGCCTCATTTTTTAAGGACTTGGATGTTTACAATGTGCTTTCACATAACTGGAAATTCTATCAGAGCAGAGCAATTTTCCAAGGACACTGAGTAAAACTTGCCCTGATGGGGAAGGCAGTTTTAGGAGGGGTGGCTTGAGGCAGAGGTAGAGGAAGAAGATCCAGCCAGATCAATCCAATTAATCCTGACACTCAAATACATGACTATGATATAGAAATGTCACCTTCATAGTCCGTTCTCTCATTTAACCCTATAACAGCTGTGAGACCAAGTCCAGCCATGTTACAGTGAGCCCCCTGGGATTCTGGCATGGTAAGGGATTTGACGAGGCTCAAACAGCTCGGCAAGAGCCAGGATTAAAATTCAAACCTCCTGGCTCCAAAGTCTGTATTCTTTTCCTTAAATATTAATTTCTTTCTTCTGAGACTTACTTTCTCTTTTCTGTCCCTCCTGGAAGCCTCCTTCCTTTCTCTCCCTTTAAATCTCTGCTCAGGGCTAACAGTTTCTCTGAAATGTTTCCCATCCTTCAAGTTCATCCTAGGTGCTCACTTGTTCTCTTTCCTTCTAACAACCTACCTCTCAATGTCACTAATATTTCTATCCATCATTTAAATTCTCCCTTAAACATTCACTATTTGTTCTTCTCTGCTCAATTTTCTCAAGACCTTCTTGTTCACCAAGCCCTTAGCAGTTTCCTTTTAAGTGTTGTGCATTCACTCATCCATTCACTTAATTATTCAACAGCTATTTACTAAGCACCTACTATGTACCATGCATTGTTCTAGGAGTTAGGGACAGTGGAGAACAAGCCAGCCATAGTCCCTTGTCCTCTGGAAATTTAGATTCCATTGAAAAAGGCCAACAATAAGCAAGTAAACAAATTAACAAGGTAATTATAGATTGTGATCAGTGCTTTGAAGAACACAAAGTGGTAATATAAGAGGAATTAACTGGAGGAGGTATATACTACCTTTAATAGGATGTTAGAAAAAGCTCCTCTGAGGAG